ACGCATATAACACAATTCCAGGTCAGAGTTTGACGGTGAAAATTTTGTTCGCTTTACCGGAGACACCACAAAACACGCTGGTGCTCAATTGTTCGCATGGGAGGCTCATGGTAAGGGCCTACTAAGCTGGAGCTACTAAGCTGGAGCTATACAAAACGAATACGAGAAAAAGAAGGAACATTTCAAATCAAGTGTAAGAATCGGAGGTCAATTTAGTTTAATCATTCACAACGTAGCGGCTTTTGGAGATTGTTTTGAAAAATCTCCTACTAACCTTATGAGATCCAAAAAATATAATCTTGTATATATAAATGTATAAAATATATGCATTCATCTCCCCTTGTAATAGGTTTTCTTAAGTGTTTGGATCGAAAGTAATTTTTGTTCGACACTGTGTCTATTAAAAATTTTAAAATATCTCAATCGCCATTTTTATGTTCAAGATAAGGCAGTGAAGTTTGCCTTAATGTAAAAAATGAATGTCTTCAAGCTGGTCTATTTGGTCATACTGCGGGATTTCAATTGGGTCCATATTTTCATTATATGTTTCCTCTGGATTTGGTTCTATTTAGTATGAATGGTAATTACAAATGGATAAACAACCTGCAAACATTACTAGCCAAATACAATAATACATATCACAGAATAATAAAAATGAAACCAAATGAAGTCAATGAACACAACGAGAAGCAGATATTACAAACTGTATATAATTTCCCTAAAACATTTCCAAGACCAAAGTTTAAAGTTGGGGATTATGTTAGAATTAGCAAATTTAAAGGAGTATTTTTTAAAGGCTATGAACCAAACTGGACCACCGAAATATTTCAGATCAGTAGAATAAAAGTTACGAATCCTGTTACTTACATTCTAAAGGACTATACGGAAAATGAAATATTAGGATCATTTTATGAATACGAAATGAACAAAGTTCGTGACGAAGATGCCGATTTAGTGGAAAAAATATTAAAGAAACAGGGAAACAAATTTTTTGTGAAGTGGCTAGGGTTTAATCAAACTCATAATTCATGGATTAATAAAACTTAATTACTTTGATAAATATGTTTAAGACCAACTAGAAATGTTTTCTATTATTAGCATTATTATTATTATTATTAAAATCTAAATAAAACGGAAAGCCAAAAAAATTGCATTGCGTATTAATTTTTACATTTATTCTTGAATACATAGTAATTACATTTCAATTACATATTTGTATTATATACTCTATAATTATTTTACATATATTCATATATACCTATTCATATATACATTGTTATTTATTATTTGATTACCTATTTTCTAATTTCCCCACGCTAGTGTGGAAATTTTATCATCTAAAACACACCGCTTATCATCTAAATAATCTAACGCTACTTTTTTGCATAACTCTGTATACAATCTGTGAGATCTGCTTCTGATAATTCTCTGTTTACCATAAAAAGATTGTCTATTTATAATACAGTGTTTATAATCACTATATTTTAAATTGTCGGTTATACATTTTTTTATCCCCTTAACTTTTTTCACTTCTTTTTTTTTATTATTTTCATCATTGACTATGTATGCATACGCTTTTGCTTTTAAATCTGCAAACTTTATTATGATACTCCCGGCATTCTTCATCAAACCTAATACTTTTTTGTTATTAGGAATTATATTATGTATATTGCCGGGTAGGTAATCTGATGTGTCAAATTTATTAGGATTATTTTTAATAATGTCATATATATTACCTTCAGACACTAATATAAATGAATCTGTATACATATATATAATCTTTATTGTTTCACTCTGGTTAAGTAAAAAGTTATAATAAAAATCATACATCAATCGATATCACTTAGAGAGTTCTAACACAGTTACCCTCACATATATCGGTTTATCGTGAATAATTTCCCATTTACTTAGCTCATCTCCATATAACCCATTATCGAATACTTCGATGCCCTTGAAGTTAGGTTTGGCTATGAGAGCCCTATACCCTTCAGAATGCCTTCTGTTTTCATAACTATTTACTAAGCGAACGTCTCGGCGATTTTCAACATTTTCCATGGTTTTCCCATACACAGCATTATTCATTAGCTTATAGAAGTTCTTCTCAAATTCATTGTTCGCAACTTTTCTTCTATTGGTGTTTAAACTAATGTAGGGCTCTAACCAAGCCCTTTAAGTAAATTTTAGTATTCTGTGAATGCATTTTAATTGCAACCCGCGTTGCAAGCAGAGGAGCAGATTGTTTAAATGAATCTTATAATTCGTTTTATGAGTTAAATCTGCTATGAGTTTTTTATACTTGCCAGTAGGAGGAATTTTATTGTCTGCACAGAAAGGTAGGCAATCATGTTGATCATGAATATCAGACGGATAATTTAGGTCAACTTCCAAAATGTAACCACTACTTCCCTCGATATCAATGGAGTAAATATCAAAATCTTTTACCTCACTTTCGCTTAAAAATTGGAAGTTTGGATATGGATGTTTTTGAGACATGGCCCATCCATACAAATTGTTTGCATCCATATAGACCAAATAATTTTCAGACTTGCTTTCATCATAATTTTCATTAAACTTATTATTTGACTCGGACAATCTTTGGGTGCATTGAGTAATACCACCTCGAATACTAGTTTTTAAAAACGTATGAATTTCAGGATCTACAATTAGTTCTATTTCAACTTTACTATATTTCAGTATGGCATCCCAAGAAAGAGATGGTGCTGTAACATAATTGTAAGGATCTAGTTTATATATTTCTAAACATAAGATCCTGAAATTCTCGAAAACATCGGTTAATATTAATACATCGGTTTCGAGATATACAACCATATAATCTTTAAGGGTCTGACATTTGAATGCGTCCCACACCGTTCGCGCGAAATTGTAGTCAGCCTCACTACATTCTCGATCGGACAAATAATTATAGAAGCACTCTCGGCTTGGTAAAATTGGATCATCAAGCTTCTTAATGTCGCTTACATAATCGTACGGAAAGACACCCTTACGACTCATCAACGCAAATTTTTCGGGATTTTTAAATGCTTTCTTTAACACTTTATACTGACTGGGTTGCAAATATTTGGCTAATTTCTCTAAACTAGAGTTTAAGAATCTATTAGAATCTACAAAATTCAATAAATATTTTATCTTATTCCCTTCCGTTACTCTCTTCGTAATTGAAATATATAATTCTTTGTTACAAGGTATAACCGACAAATTAGACCCTAACTGTGTGATAAAGAGATGGCTATCATACCTACTTAAATTATGGAAGATAATAGGAACGTAGGGTAGCTTAAATTGAAAACATTTCCTACATTCCCTATGAATGAACCCCACAAATTCCCCTGTAAAATAATTACAGTACTTATCTTTATATCCTAAAATTATTTCTTCACAGGCGTAGCACTCAGTGTTTTCCATCTCTGTTGGTTGCTCATTTTGCAATAGTTCTTTATGGCTTACGGAATTCGTCCAGTACAACTGATACAGGCCGTCCATTTTCCGCTGCATATGACCGACAAATTCAGCTATGCAGGTTTCCCCTAATAAAAATAAGGAATAAATAAACAGAGTCAATTAGTTACTTAAATGAAAAACAAAACATTTGTTAAATACTCACCAACAAAAGCATACATCACACTCTTCTTTATACACATGTTTAACATAATAAGAGACTGCGCACGCTTCATGCTGTTGAGTTGTTCTCGTCCCTTCGCTCCTATTAAGAACTTCTATTGGTTTCAGCATCTATATCAGCATATGTGATTATTGGCGGCGACAACTTCTTCTCCATATTTTTGAACTCGGTTACTGTTCCCGCTGATGGAAATACACTTTTCACTTTGGTGCAACCTTCCTTATGGCGGGTTCCAGTCATGGTGTAAAACGTTTGACACAAATCACAAAACTATCCTGTTGTATGGCTTCGCGTGTATTGAGTTTTTACCAATCTCTGCATGTTGGTAATAAGACAATAATGTTATTGCTTAGTCGTTTCGTTATAAACAGTTAGCAAGTTGATATGCAAACTTTTTGGTTCCTTTGTAGCTCTTGCCGAA